CATAACTTTATGTATTGACACGTGTTGCAATGTATATTTATTACATAACACTTGTCAATACATATTTGTGAATAACTATGGATGGCTCTATAAGTCGAGCCATCCGATTACTCCATAGCAAAACTGCCAACTCCCACTCCCGCGTGTGTAATATCCCGATATTTTAATCGGTATGAAGTACGTTTAATTCCGATATAATAATGTTTATCGTTTATTATTTTCGGAATTAATTAAGTTCAGTCGGAATTACCGAAATCTATTTTCGACGTATCGTTTACGTTCGAAATAATTTTGGTAATTAAGTATTATGTTTAATTTATAATTAAACATAAAGTTGGTGGTTAATTAGAAATTAATCACAATTAAGCCCTATAAGCCGTGAGATTAGTGTGATTTTCTCCCAAAAATGTAGCATTTAGCCGTGACCTTTCTTAAGCCTAAGGAAAGGATTTTAACCAATCATCAAGTGCCATTTGCTAAGCAAGGGAGGTGCTTAGTCATTCATTTAAGCATAAGGAAGATTAGCAAGTGTAATAAGGAGAGGAGGGCCACGCCACTCCATGGTCATCTCCCTTATGTGTTCGGCCACCTATAAAAGGGGAGGACTTAGGCAAAATTTTCCACCTTTTCATGACCTTGAGCAGCATATATATTCCTATACAATCAGCATATATCCCAGCCCTTACAGCAACCAAATATCTAGCAAAGTTCCTTAGTTTTTCATCCAAATAGCACGGCCAAACGAGAAGCAATCGCACGGCAAGTAGTCATCGCACGGTTACGCGAGGACAAAAGGTCGCGGTATATTTTCCAATTCTGGTCGAGCGACTGTCAAGGTATTATTCTTCTCATGTTAGAATCATGTTAATAAGCTTATTTCAGAGTTAATTGCTCGGAAAATTTCAGAAATTCGTAAGAAACTTGCATGTTGAACTCGGTTAGGGCTTATTAGTTCCTTTCGAGTGGAGTTCAAATTGTTTCAGCAACTCATGGGCAATCTTGTTTCCATTAGCCTCTATTTGAAGTATAAGGTTCAGCTGAGTAAGATCAGTCAGTAATAGTTGATGTTATGTTCATGTTATGGCTCAAGGGCGCGGGCTGCGCACCTAGCGCATAACCGCGGGCCATATAAGGCTTGATAGCCTCATCTTTCAGTATGGTCATATTGTTCCGAACAGTTTGTGGTTAAAAGATCATATTATGTCAATTTATAAGTATTCAGTTCATGTTGGTCGAGGGATTGTTGAGATTGTTCGAGTTGTGGCCAAGGGCCGAAGGCCTCGCACGTAGCGAGTGCCACGGCCGAGGGTTTGGTCCGATCAGCATGTTCAGTAAATTTTGTTAAAATCAGTTTTATGATCATAGTAGGTCATAATATGTTGATAGAAGTCAGTTTGGTCGGAAAATGTTGCCGGACGGTCGGCAAGGTGTCGACCGTGGCCGCGCTGCCGCACACAGCGGCAGCAGCGCCTCGACCAGTGCCCCGCGTGCC